CACACGCGCGCGTTCATGTCAGAATCCTACCGAACACCGTGTGTTTGCAAGCATTTCAACATAAAAACATCAAAAACCCAATGCTTTTTCACAAAAATTGTACAAATTTCCCGCCCGGGCTCTCTTGCTGAAATCATAGGAAAACCATAGGAATCTCAAGAATTCGGTCAAATCCAACGATTTCACGTCATCGCGCGGTGCACTCGCGATGCTCTGTCATGCACCCAGGCCGCAAATCCTGTGCAAAAAATACCACAAAGAGCACACTCGCGCGTTCATGTCAGAATCCTACCGAACACCGTGTGTTTGCAAGCATTTCAACATAAAAACATCAAAAACCCAATGCTTTTTCACAAAAATGCTTCGGGGTATCCTGTCAGACCGTCGGGCTTCCTCCGGCCACCTCTGGCTTCCTGCGGTGTACCGGGCCATTCTCGACTCGTCTGGCAATGCGTGCGCGGCATTCAACACGCGCTCGCCAGTTCCCGTCGGCAACCGCCATCGCGGCCGCATCAGCTGTACCAAACCGGCTGGCCGGTGTGACTTCGGCCCCCAGTTGTGCCAGCTTTGCTTCTTATGTTGTGGGAGGGCGGGTGGGACTGGGCATGCCATGCTTGACTCGCTCGAGCTGGCTAGCTTGACTCCTACTCCTACTCCTATCCTTATTCCTTATTAGAATATACTCCTACTCCCCCCTCAGGCCGGCCATTAGGGGCCGCATCCGGGGGGTCCCATCCTAACCTGTAAAAAACAATACAAAATCAACATTTTTCTTATTTTTTCCTCTCGACATGGACGTCCTGTCGTCCACGGCGATAATCCATTGCAAAAAATACCACAAAGAGCACACGCGCGCGTTCATGTCAGAATCCTACCGAACACCGTGTGTTTGCAAGCATTTCAACATAAAAACATCAAAAACCCAATGCTTTTTTTTCACAAAAATTCTACAAATTTCCTGCCCGGGCTCTCTTGCTGAAATCATAGGAAAACCATAGGAATCTTAAGAATTCGGTCAAATCCAGCGATTTCACGTCATCGCGCGGTGCACTCGCGATGCTCTGTCATGCACCCAGGCCGCGAATCCTGTGCAAAAAATACAACAAAGAGCACACTCGCGCGTTCATGTCAGAATCCTACCGAACACCGTGTGTGTGCAAGCATTTCAACATAAAAACATCAAAAACCCAATGCTTTTTCACAAAAATGCTTTGGGGTGTCCTGTCAGACCGTCGGGCTTCCTCCGGCCACCTCTGGCTTCCTGCGGTGTACCGGGCCATTCTCGACTCGTCTGGCAATGCGTGCGCGGCATTCAACACGCGCTCGCCAGTTCCCGTCGGCAACCGCCATCGCGGCCGCATCAGCTGTACCAAACCGGCTGGCCGGTGTGACTTCGGCCCCCAGTTGTGCCAGCTTTGCTTCTTATGTTGTGGGAGGGCGGGTGGGACTGGGCATGCCATGCTTGACTCGCTCGAGCTGGCTAGCTTGACTCCTTACTCCTACTCTCTACTCCTACTCCTACACCTACTTCCTACTCCTTACTCCTACTCCTACCCTTACAATACACTACCACTACCACTACCACTACTACTACTACTGCTACTGACTACTACTACTACTACTACTACTACTACTACTACTACTACTACTACTACTACTACTACTACTACTACTACTACTACGACTACTACTACTACTACTACTACTACTACTACTACTACTACTACTACTACTACTACTACTACTACTACTACTACTAGCTACTACTACTACTACCTACTACTACTACTACTACTACTACTACTACTACTACTACTACTACTACTACTACTACTACTACTACTACTACTACTACTACTACTACTACTACTACTACTACTACTACTACTACTACTACTACTACTACTACTACTACTACTACTACTACTACTACTACTACTACTACTACTACTACTACTACTACTACTACTACTACTACTACTACTACTACTACTACTACTACTACTACTACTACTACTACTACTACTACTACTACTACTACTACTACTACTACTACTACTACTACTACTACTACTACGCATCCCCCTCCTCCTACACCTCCTCGTCCTCCTCCTCCTCCTTTTCCTGCTCCTCGATCTGGACATCCTCCTCAGCTTCTCCCCCCTCTTCCTCCGCATCCTGTTCCTCCGTCCCCTCTTGTCGGGCACACGCGAACATGGATTACAGATCCGTGGATCTGGCACGCCGCGCCACTGCCGTCCGATTTGACGTTGGAGCGCACCGATTTTTGAACGGGAAACGGGACCCGCCCCTAATCCACGCGCCTGAAGCCATACTTTCGTATTCTCGATCCGTCTCCTGAAGACGAAGCCAGGACAAAATCGGACAGGGAAACACCGGTGATCCCTGAGATCTGGCGGTTCTGGAGGATGTATCGGGCACCGCGGCCTTCTCAGAGCGTTCCGGAACGCGCTGGAACGATTTGTCCCTACGCCCGATCTCCTCCCGCTCGCCCCGCCCCACACTCCGCGGCCCGCCGCGGCACGCCTGTCTGCACTGTGGTCGGCCTTGCTGCCTCTGGGTGGCGCGTTCCCCCTGCTGCCGAACAGAGCGGCCCGCTGGTCCACCTTCGAGCGAGCGGCGAGCCGGCCAGAGGGCGAACGCCCAGAGACGCCCGCGCCCCTGCGCCCCAGCCACCTCCACCAAACGTCTCCTCCTCGTCGTGCTTCTTGTCCTCCTGACGCTGACGCTGCTGGCATGGAAATCCCGTGGGGATGCTGCGATCGCCTGTCCTTCATCCTCCTCCTCCTCCTCCTCCTCCTCCGTAGCCGGTTTGGCTCGAGCGGTCTTTCGTCGCCTTGCTGCACGCCGTATGCACCCTTCATTTTGGCCATGTCGGGTGCTGCGCCTCGTGTGCGGCGCAGCGCTGCTCGCCGTGGTCGGACTGGCGGCGTTGTACCGCTTGATGCCCATCGGCGGCATGCGGGGGGAGCTCCCGATGCCGCCCGCGATGAAGGAGCTGACCTCGCTCTGGCCACTGCCGCAGCAGCCCGGCAGGCGCCGACGCTCGCCAATCTGCATGTGAAGCTCTACGGGAAGGCGCGCGAGCCCCTTGGCAAGACGCTGCGGACGAGGGTGGTGCGTCGACACTCCTCCGAGCACGCCTCCGGCACGGCCTCGAGCAGTGGCGAGGGCACGCACGCGTTTCCAATGCGCCCGAATGCATGAGGAGAAGCTTGACCGTGATGGGGGCGGATCCGTACTTCCCTCGGCGCGCACGGCCGTGAGCTTCCCTGTGGACGACGTGGGCGCGGCAAGCACAGGCATCGCTCGCCCGCTGCACGGCACATGCAGGGGGCGGGACCTGCGCGGCGCCGTCCTGGGCGCAACGCAGGGACGCAGCGTGCTGCGGCGACGGTGCCGAGCCTGACGAGGCTGCCGAGCGGCCCTGGGGCAGCCGAGCGCCTCCCAGGGCCTCCCGCGCTGCCCGCGACGCGCGGCCTCCGCGGCCCTGCCGCCGGGAGGCCCTGGCCCGGGCAGGCGTCGCGGCCCCGCTCGCCGCGGTGGAGCTCCACACGGGGCCACGCGACGCCCGAGGGGTGTGGTGTGCCGGCATGGTCGTGCGGTGGGCGGGTGGCCGCACGTGCGCCCTGTCACCGGGCCCTCGGGTGGGGCTCCCCACGGGGCCGCGAAGCGAGCGAGGGGTGTGCCGACACGGGCGTGCGGTGGGCGGGGGGCCGCGCGCGATCGCGGCCTCTGGGGCGTTCGGTGGAGCTCCCCATGGGGCCCGGGCCTTCGGTGAAGCTCCCCACGGGGCCACGAAACGTGTGGAGGGCGCGCCAGAACGGACATGCGGGGGGCCGGGCGCCGCATGTGAACCATGCCGCTGGGGGCTTCGGTAGCTCCCTGCGGCGCCACAAACGTGTGAGGGGGGGCCGAAATGTGCATGCGGTGGGCTGGGAGTCGCATGCGAACCCTGCCACTGGGGCCCTCGATTGAGCAGCTTCTCCTGTGGGGGCACGAAGCGCTGAGGGGTGCGCCGCGACGAGGACAAGCGGAGTGCGGGGATGAGCGGAGGGAGGGGGAGGGGGAAAGGAGAGGGGGAGACGTGGGAACTGTCTCTTCAAAACGAAGATTCGACACCACAGGATGGTTGGGGAAAACAGCTCAACATGCACTTCGCGGCTAAATTTGAATCATGCACGGCCACCTCGCGATCACTGCCCATTGGCTTTTTGACAGGGAAGGCGGGGGTGCTAGCAGATTGCCTGTTGTGCGCGGGCCCACCAAACACCATGAAGGCCATCCCGCTGCGATTGCGCATTGGATTTCGACGCGGATGGTGGGGGGCGACATGCTTCCCGATGTGTGTGCTGTCACGTGCGCGGGCTAACATGGCATAACACGGCGCACTTTGCGTGCCCCGAATGTGGCGCACCTGGTGCAGCTGGAGCATGCGGTACACATGGCGCACGTGGAGCACGCGGCGCGTCTGGCGTTCCAGGCGTGCCTGGCACGCTTTTGCCCGAGGGGTGCCTGGCGAAACTGACGCACGCGGTGCGCCTGGCACGCGTGGCGCACCTCACCGGAGCGTCGCGCACATGCGATCTGTTGTGGTTCCCAGTAGCTGCCCATCCAAAGACGACCGATGGACATGCTGAAGCTCTGGGGCTGCTTCTGTGTTGGAAGGGCGGGTGGGAGTGAGCCAGACGGCGCGCGGCTTGTAGGCAGCTTCACCGGATGGTGTCTCGATCCCTCCCCCCACCCTCCCCCCTGGACCTGGACAGGGGGCTTCGCGACCGATTGCAGCGTCCAAGAAGGCATCGACTAGAAGGCAAAAATCACGAATCGTCATGAAGTTCTAACCAAATGCTGAACTCCTGGGGAAGGGAGACGACGCCTTCTGCAGAAACAACTTATTTCACTTCTTCCGACACGGCTTATTCCGGGAGAACTTTCGTCTGGAAGGAGTTGCCCGGATGAAGCCCCCCAGAAAAAAT